GTAGGGAATATGGAAATGGAATCCCTATGTAATCTGTATGCAACACATTGACTTTTTTTCCTACTAACCACCGGTAAGTCTTACCTGGGTTTAGGGGCTGAAGGCTCAGGAGCTATGTGTTCTGGGATGTCGGGTTTTCAGGGTTTGGGGGTTTAGGGCCTTAATAAGGTCTTAGGACTGGAGTGTTGTAGACTTGAGGGTTCAGGGCTTTGGGTTTAGGCTTGAGGGTTTAGGGCCTGTTTGGTGGTCCAAGTTCAGGGGCGAAACCTATTCAGCTACTGCACTGCAGTTGTCACAGTGACCCTGGCCCCATTCAAATGGTTCAGTGTACAGGGTCTAAGATTCTGGGATTTGGGGATCTGTTTGCCCCACTTAAAGTACTGGCAACCCTACTGGAATTCACAGCATCCAAGTTCACAGAGATTGTATGTTAGAAAGAGGTGTAATCGCTAATATTACGTGCTTGTGTTTGGTGAGAATGAAACAAAAGGCTATGTGCACATACTCTATCTACCTGCCCATCTACCTGCCTGTCTATCAACATATCTAAGTTCGAAAGAATGAACACGTGAGGGTGTGACGTTGGTTCGGTTGGTCCCCCAGTAGCCTGAATGGAAGTTCGCACCAAAGTCAGCTAATGACAAAGACTCATTACCCCTATATACCGCCAATATACTAGAGTAGTTTCCATTTTCTTTTCCATTACCCCTAAACCCTGTTCCATACAGTAGTGTATGTAAAACGAAGGAACAGCACAATGCAGTGAGGTTGCTTCCGTTGAGGATCCTCACCTTCTACGCCTATGCGCCTCGGAAAGTCCTATATAATACTCGATATAACCCCGTATATACTATGTAGTAGTTACCATTTTCCATTTATATAACTCCGTATATACTATGTAGTAGTTTCCATTTTCCATAATCCCTATAGAAACCCTATATAACCCCATATGCAAAATCTTGGTTGTAGATTCGAACCCTTGGCTCTGAGCCTGAAGCCTGACAAGGCTACAAGCCTGCATGGCTGGTTTGGGGACTAATGCAGCTGCGTTTAGGGGTTTAGGGTTTAGGGTTTAGGGCTTGGTTCCATATTACCCCCAATAATGGAGAATGAAATGGACAAGAACATGGAACATGAAAATAGATACCGGGATTATAGGGTAACCCAGACCCGTGAGTAATAAACCCCCTTCCCTTAATGGGGCTTATAATATGGATACAAATATTAAGGCCCATAAAAGGGTTTATTAATCCGGGGTCTACAGTAGCAAGCGTCATTATACAAAATTGCAACCAATCTGAAAGCCTTTCAATAACCCCAGATACCCGACCATGCAAATTAATCATTGTTAGTATCGTGTCCTAAACCCTAAGCCTTGAGCACTTGATAAGCCTTGCAAGTGGACATTGGGGCGATTTCGCACCCTCAACCCTAAACCGAGTAAGTGTACGAAATGCCCTCACCTCCTTCTGGCATAAGCGGAGGTACCATTATAAAGGTATATATGGGGATTCTACAGGGACTATTATAGGGATCCACTCTCCTACTCTCCCCTAAGCACAACTAAGACGGTTGGAGATCAGAACCCTGGCTTAGGGGCTTCTTTTGACCGAAAAGGCCTTCAGTTTTGGAAGTTCATATGAGCCATACACTAAACTCCTAGCATCTCCCTTAATAACCCCTATAAGCGTCCTAGAAATCCTCTTATGCAACCCCCTCTTAAGGAGTTTAGACTCTAGCTTATTATAGTCAACATTTCCCACATAATTTAATGGACATGGGTTCCTTACACAGGACTTTATTGGGGACTATACTTACCTACAAGAGGGACCCCTATGTCCACTCTCGAGGGCCCCTCCATGAGGCAAAAATTGCCAGCAGCACTTTTAAAGAATTTACACTTCAGTGTCCAACAATAGGTGGTCTTTGCAGTGGAAGGTAGGGTTTAGGGAGTTCAGGAGACCTAGAGGCGGTCTTCGGTTAAGGGTTTAGGGGCTCGCGTTACACCAAATCGTGCATTGCAGGCTGCATGTTTGTGACGTCCTAAAACCTTGGGCGCTGCAAACTCTGCAGAATGAAGACGCGGTGTGGTGCTTCATGCTTAGGGTTTAGGGAAACCCTGGTCGTCGTCTCTCTCGATCGCAGGGGCGATCTCAGCAATATCCTCGAGACTCCTCCATCTATTTGCCTGTCCCAGCTCCATCGCGATGCCCCTTGTGTGATTTCTGATGCTGTGTGCTCTTCCTTTAAAGCCTCTGAACCCCAAGCCATGGCCCAGGTACCCAAGAAGCATATTCAGGATTTAGGCCTTTGGGCTTGGGATCACATACCTCACCGAAAACTGCAGTACGGTTTCTAATCTTTAAATCCCAAGTACCTAAGTTTTGGGTACATTACCTAGCTACAGTCACTATTTCCTAGAAGTTTGATGGACATGGGTTCCGAATTAAGGACTATATTGGGGACTATACTAACCCCTATGTCCACGCTTAGTTTCTGTTCCCTTGGTAAGCCTAATGTTGGTAACTCATAATCTCTACAAACCATTATACAATCCAGAAATTCATGTCCTTTTCCATTTTTCCAATTGATTCTCTATTGCAGGGAGTTCATACCCCAAAACCCTGAATCTTAAGCCTTACCTAAACCCCAAGAGTATGTAAAATAATAGCCCTAAACCCATAATAATAGCCATGAAGGCCATTATTTTACATACTTTTAGGGTCCAGGTAATATTAAGAGGAGCTCACACGGAGCCCAAGGGCTTGGGGGGAACCCTCCTGACCCTACAGCAGGCCTGAATGACCAGCAAGAAGAGCTCCTTTGTGATGGCCTTGATGGCTTGCAGCTTGAGCATAAGGAACCCGGGAGGTTCCAGTGTATGATTTAGGGTTTAGGGTTTAGGGTATACAACAATCATACAGGGGTTTAGGGTCTAGGGCACTACACTCTGGTGTTACTATACTAGAAAGCCCTACATAGGTTTTGGGGAATGAAAATACTTGCCTATTGTGGACCTTTTGGCAAGTTGAAATCTTAAACTACCATAGCATCGTCATGCAATTACGGCACACAAGACATAACCTGGTTTCCGGAGAGTGGTATCTGCCCCTTAAGACCCATTCATCCCCAGTTCCCTTATCACGCGTCATTTTTCGAAGTTCAAACCCTAAACCCTCAGCCCTAAACCCTAAACCCCTAAACCCTAAAACCCCTAAACCCTAAACTACAACCCCTAAACCCTAAACCCTAAAACCTACTTGAAGCTCCCAACGGCAGCCCTGCCTAGAGTGTTTGTCTGCAACTGCTGGAGGCAGGGGCCGCTAGTCTTTTAAGACACGCCCTAAACCCTAAAACTTAACCCTGAGGGTCCATGTACCCAATAACTAGGTCCCTTTAAAGGGCATATATATTGGGGTATGTAGGGTGTATAGGGGTTAGGGTCCATGTAACCAATAGTTAGGTACTTGGGATTTTGGTAATCGTAATTGTAGTACAGGTTTTGGGCTACCTAGGGGCTCCAATGTAGTTCCTTTTTGGGTCTGTTATGGTTTTTTGGTATGGGATAATAATATACTACACAAACAGGAACTACATAGGAGGGTCAGGGTAAACCCTTAAACTTAATAAGCCCAGAATCCTAATAGCTTGGGCCCCAAGAGGATCGAACTCTTGGATCCCTCCGGATGCTATGGAGTATTCAAAGCAGACTTTCTAGAGAGTGGTATGGACTGCTATAACCCTGTTAACCCTAAAGCCTAAACCATGAACCTAAAGGCTTGTCAGAAGGCACTTTTTTCGTCAAATCAATCCTTGACTACACTGCATGCAACTGCCCAATCCTACATCCTAAACCCTTAGACCTAAACCCCCAAATCCTACTCACAGCACGACCAGGCTCGGCCATGACAAAATGAGGCCCCAATCAAGCGGTTCAGAGTTAGGTCTAAGGTTGCATGGGCCCCTGTTTTGGGCCCTTAGCCCTTTTTTTTTGGCATTCTAGGGACCCTTACGGTTACACAAGCAGTAAATTGCAGGTATATGAGGATCCAAGGGTTATGGACCCATAGTAGGCAACCATGGTTTAAACCTCAGAGTTTCGAGTTTAGGGCTTAGGGTTTAGAGTCCCTAGATTAAGTGCAAGGATTATAGGGTTCAGGTACCTATATGGTACTGAAGGTATGCTCCTTTGCTACAAGCAATTGAATGCTTCTGTAGGGATTGCGGAGCAGCCGCCCACTATATAAGCCATGGTCTACACTTAGAAGCCCGCTTTCTAAACCCTATAATTCTCCCATCTATAATCCCCTAGATAACCCCACTTAAGGAGTTTAGACCCCTAAACCCTAAACCCTACATAATCCCCCTTTGAGGAGTGCAGACCATAGCTCATACAGGTAACTGGGAGGTGCTAGGTTGTATTGTGGTTGCTGTTAAGGAACTTAAATTAAGTTACCATAATGGGTATATGTAGTAAATAACAGGGTTTCCCCAATATAGTAACTTAAATTAAGTTCCTTAACAGCCACACAGCTTGTGGGTGCTTAGATGCAGCCTTCACCTTGGTACTGGTGGCGTTGGGTCCTACTCCCCACAATCTTCATCTGTAAAACCAGAGTTTAAGGTTAAGGGTTCTTAAAACCAGCTCGCCCCAAACCCCAACCCAAAATGCCTTGAACTCTATGCCCTTGCCTGTGAACCGCAGGAAAAATGACAGCTTGCAGTCAAAAAAAGGGGCCGGCCCTATGGCTTGTCTAGCGAATTCAAACCCAAAATCTCTTCCTTCAGTAGAAAGCACCCCCCACCACTCAGCAAGCAATGTTTGGGAAAGTCGCGTGAAGATGTTTCGAGCCACAGCAAAATTCCAATTAGTGGGGGTGGTCGGGTGGCTCAATTTGCATACGCGGGAGAACTTAAATCGTACGCAGCAACCGAATATACTGCTAGGCACATTCCTTGCATAAGGGCCGTTAAGCTCCATCGGCGGCTGAGCTCCAGGCTATCTGCGCATGAATGTCATTGTCCGTAAACTGTATGGAGCTGGTGTTGAAATCGAGCTGCGACATTTTGTTCTCGGCGGCAGAAGCCAGGCAAGAGCGATCGGGTTGTTGTAAACTGGCCAATTTAGACCTAGCCCTCCCAGATACATTGCGGTCCAATCATGGGTCTGATGGCTGTTACTTTGGGTATTTAGGAGGTCGGGGGAACAATTCCAAAACCTGAACTAAGGTTTTTGGGGGACGCGACGCAGTTGTACATACGGTCTCCCGTTTCTTTTCCTCCACTACCTGCAAATCCGTTTACCTAAGCCCTAACCCCTATATGGTAGTCTCCATTTCTTTTCCATCATCCCCATATGACCCCTATATAACCCCCTATAATCCCTTTAGTTTCCATTTTCTTTTCCATTATCGCTATAAAATCCCAATATAACCCTATTATAACCCCTATCATATAATAGTAATTTCCATTTTGTTTTCCATTATCGCTATAAAATCCCAATATAACCCTATTATAACCCCTATTATATGATCGTAGTTTCCATTTTCTTGTCCACTATCCTATATAACCCCTATAGCTCTGCCGTGCTTCCAAGAGTCTACTGGACATAGCTCCCTTGAGCTGTTAGTAAATGGACTCAGGAGTATTCCTTCTTCTGCAGAAGACAACAACACCCTCTGCTAAACCCTAAACCCTAAACCTTTCTGCTTCTTCTCGAGGCGCTGTGTCTTCCCAAGCAAACCTCTCTCTCTCTCTCTCTGTCTCTCTCTCTGTTTTAGATTAGGGCCCTTCAAAGTTTGAAGTTCTGGATTATGTAAGCATGTTCGGGCGCTGCCTATGGTTCCCTGACTTAACTTTCTGTGTTGGTGCAGGAGCCTCTTACGCCATATCCGCGCAAAGACACTACAGACTGCGGCAGGGGATCATGGACCCTATAGTTGAACGCCATGCACGCATTTCCTGTACCTTTCTAACTGCGGGTGTCTAAAGGCCATGACTCAATCAATCCTTTACTGCAAAAAGGGAGAGTGCCACTCCGTGCGTGGGAGTTCTGAGAAACATGATCCTGTTTGCGAGTCTCCGCCATACTGCGGCCCCTAATGTTCGGATGTTCAACCCGGAATGGGATCAACACTCTGGCGACCTATCATGTAAACCTCTTCCGGGCAATAGTTCACAACCAGGAAACCACGAAGCCAAATATATGTCAACAAGCCCACGAATCAGTGGAACTTGGGTCTTCTTGGGAAATTGTCAATCAGCGCTCAACAGTCAGCCACGTTCAGCCAAATCGCCGACGCCTCAGAATCCTGGTAAAGGCGGTAAGCGGCAGCGAACTTCTTCAGCAGCTCACCTGGTTGCATCTACACATCTACAGATGAGTTTTAAAGACCTGCTGGGGTTCAGAGTTGTGAAAAATTATCCTCTAGAATTGAGAACCAAATGGAAAAGCTGGAAAAACAAGTATAAATCAGGCTGTATGGGGAGGGTATATACCGCACTCAGAGTTCAGAGGTTTGGGGTGGGTTTGGGTGCTTAGATCTTAGGTGTCTAAGGTGTTGGGTGCTTGAACCATGTAGGATGACATTCCTCTTCTGGCATAATATACTATCATATACCATGATATACTATAATACAACCCTATAGTATACTATAATATAACACCACAGTATACTATAGTAGACTACAATACACCCAGAGCCATGCGCTCAATGCAGCTCGCTGCATAGTTGATGAAAGCTTTGGCGCTCAACTGGGAGGAAATCCACCAACCATGACAGAACTTACTTCAAATGATTCTGTCTCAGGGGCTCTATTCGGGTTATACAGGGGACATATAGGGGATATACTGGGAGATATTGGGGTAATGGAAAAGAAAAATGAGTCTCTCGCAGCTTGTAAGATGTTGGCATTTTGTGCGTCTTAAGGAAGGCGTCTTACCGTGTTGAAGTTCCCGATCTTCAACTAGGATTCTCAGTTTGTATCTATAGTCCCCCTTAAGTAGATAGAATATGGCTTTGGGTACATTATAGCCCCCATATTCTATCTACGTAAGGGGGACTCTATCCCCCAAAAAGCATTCTAGCGCCCTCAACACACACCCGTAGTTGAGAAACCCTCAACAAACCCGGGGTCTCCTGAGGCTCCAATTTTTCAATTTGCATTCCTTGGGTCATATGAGCCCTAGTCTAAGCTCCTAGTATCCCCTTAAATAACCCTTATAGTAGTCCCTATATAATCCGCTTTAAGGTGTGTAGACTATAGCTCATATNNTCATGGGTTCCCCTACTACGCCCCACAAAACTACCCCCCCTAGGTTTCCCCTCAGTCAATCCTGATTAGGCACAATTGTTACCTTGAACGGGAAACCTAGGGGGTAGTATAGAATGAACCCATAAAACAACAAGGCATCTTAGACCCCAGCAATGAGAAACACCAATTTACTCACATGTTGCTGAATGGTTCATGAAATCTGCCTCGAACCCTCCCAAAGATTCGCTCTAGCTTGCTTTTGGGCTGTCACAGCCAAAAAAGAATGATTTCAGAACACTCTTAGCTGAAAAAAGGCCTCCTAGCAGCCCTAACATACTATATAGTCGTTTCCA